TTAATGCTAGATGATTAGAGTGACCTTTTTGGTTCAGTAACTGCTGTAGAACTTCATTCTGGAGTTTACTTAATTAGAGAAGTACTCATGACCTGGACGTGGCAATTTTCTTCAAGCAGTGGTCTCTGCCACTCTTGTCCCTTTGCAGAGATGGCACACATTCGCCTATTTTTGGTACCAGGGCCCTGGTTTTGTTATTGCAAGAGCAGGGATTGTTTCATTTTGGGTTTTTGGGGTTTTGGTTTTTTTTTGTTTTTTTTTGGGTTGGTTGGTTTTTGGCTAGGCAATGGGGTTAAGTGACTTGCCCAGGGTCACACAGCTAGTAAGTGTTATGTATCTGAAGCCAAATTTGAACTCGGGTCCTCCTGAATCCAGGGCCGGTGCTCTATCCGCTGCACCACCTAGCTGCCCCTCATTTTTGTTTTTGTAATCCTAGTAGCCGGCAGAGTTTCACAGTGCCTTGGCACATAGTAGGTACTTAATAATTGATTGTGACTATGACTGTGTAAGGCCTGTCATTCCCAAAGCCACTCCTTCCATTGTGTTTTCTCATGTCTCTGTGAACCGTCTGCACATTTTTTACTGAAAATGTTTGGAATTTTTTAGTTTACAGCAGTGCCTTTTTGCCCAATGTGTAAGGCTTATTGATCTATTAAAACAGGAGTCAGTAAGCTTCTTTAATCCTGGCTGCCACCAGTGGTGCTGAGCCATTCCCATGGACGTATGCAGACAAGGAAGGAAGAGAGTAAGAAAAGGAAAAGAACTAGAGGGAAAGAGAAGCTCAGATGAGAATGCCTGCAAGGGCTGATGTTAGGGCCAGAGCGATCACCTCCCCTTAGATGCTGAATTCACCTATGGATGCCTCTTGGTGTGCTTGTCCTTCTGATGTAATTATAAGACTTAAATTGTTTCTTCAGACTTTACCTTTAATTTTCTCTTCCCTGTTTTCCTTAGTCTTTAGGAAAGGAGAAAAGGCCCTGTCTTGCAAGTTTTTCCCTTAAAACGGTAAAAAGACTAGAGGTATTTGTGTGGGGAGAATGAATCATCCATTTATGTATTTTAAATTAGATTAATTTTTCTATTCATAAGTGCCTGTGGTACTCTAAATGGTTAAGCTAAAAGGGTATAGACAGTAGTAGGTTATGTTGCTCAGTGGGTAATGGCACCCCTTTGTTGAGGTGTTGGAGAAGAGGCCAAGTGACCTAACAGGGCTTGGGCACTAGGTGTGTGCTGGCTTATGTTGTCTATCTCAGAGGATTCTTCTGACTCTATATCAGCTGATTCCATGTAGTAACTAATATGCTTATTAGTTTTGTAGAGGTAAATATAATTGAGCATTCAGTAAAATACCAAGCCTATGTTTTTCATAAATTTAAGGTTTTTTTCTCTATTTGAAGAATACCTTTAAGATTAATATCAGCAGAGTTTTGAAGTTTTGAAATTTGATTGCTTTGTTTTTATTTGTTGATTGATATGTATATAAGTGGGGAATTTGGGGTGGATGCCGGTGACTGTGTTTGTGAACATCACTTATTAATATTAGTATATATTTAATAAAGAAGGTGAAATAAGCAGAGAAGTTGTTAGGTAAATTAATGGGAATGATGGAAAGGGTAGAGTTATGTTAGGGATAGGTGAAAGAAGATTTTAGAGGCAGATCTGAGAGTTCTCATAATAGATACAAGAGGTGACTAAGGGAAATTAATATGTGATAATCCAGTATGAGTTATTTGGATTTCAAGTCTTTAAGGGCTGGAGGAGGGATCCTTTGAAGGGTTGGAAAATGTGGTGGGCCTTCAAACTGAAAAGGAGAGGTGGGGGACTGTCTTCTGGGTATATCTCCCTACTTAAATATCAGAGAGTAAAAGTTCTTAACCTAGAGCTTCCAAAGGAGTCCATGTATAGATTTCAAGGAAAATAAATATTGCCTGTTTTCGTTAACTTCTACCTGAAATTTAACATTTCCTAAATATTTGAAAACATTATTTTGCAAAAGGGTGTCTATAATTTTCTCTCGACTCCCAAAAGGGCCTACAGCCCAACAAAAGTTCCAGACCTTTGCCCTATATCAAGGGAGTAGTTCCAGTGTAAGTAAGAGAGCAGTTGAGGAATCTTCAAGAAGGTCTCAGGAGGCAAAGTCCAACAGAGGAAAGATGTGGACTAGATAATAGATCTGCCGTAGATGGATCCCAGCTTAATTGAGTGGCTGTTCATGGTGTCCAGTGAAGTGCCACAGGGATCTGACCTTGGTCCTTTGCTGTTGAACACTTTTTTTTGATCAGTGGTTTGATTAAGGCCTGAATGGCATGCTACTCATATTTGCAGTGACACTTTTCTGGAAAGAGACCCTGGATGGTAGTCAGGATTCAAAAAGATCTTGATAGCAAATAAAATGAAATTGAAAAGGAGTAAGTGTCCGGTCATAGACTGATGTTCAAGTAATTGGCTTTGCAAATAGAGGATAGGAAAATCTGGTTGGTTATACTTAGTGAAGTTTGTCTGAAAAAATGTAGGTGTTAAAGAGGGAATTCTGAGTTCAATGTGGGTCAGCAGTGAGATAGGGCAGTTTGCAAAAGGTAAAGCTATCCTATGCTGCAGTAAGAGAGGGGCAGCATTCTGCTGCCCTCTGCCTTGGTCCGACCACATCTGGGAGTCCAGCTTTGAGTTCTGGGCACCATTTTGTAGGGGAGGATATTGTTAAGTATCCAGAGTAAAACAGCCAGGATGGTGAAGTTAATGCCATAGGAAGATTTATTGAAGGAACTGGAAGGTGTTTAACCTGGAGATGAGAAGATTTAGGAAAGATTGGCTAGCTTTGTTCAAATATTTGGAAGGCTGTTGTTAATGTAGAAACAAGATTAGTTTTGTTTGGCCCCAACATTAGGGAATTCTTGGTGTCAAGTATGGGTTATTCCCAATGGCCTCAGAGGTCTCTAAAACTCTAGAGTACTTTGAAATGACTTGCTCCAAATGACAGGATTAATGTGATTTGATTTTTAAAGGTGAGAAATTTGAAAAGATTGAGTGAATAGAAATTTTGATAGGACCCAGGAATCAGATTAAGAAATCCTTACTGCACTAAATACATGTCCTTCCCATGCTCCCCACCTAAGTTCTGAAAAATCACATTTCTCTTTTTTTCTTCTTGGACCCTTTATTTTGATTCATGAATAAGTTGTATATACTGTTGTTCCTTAGTTGCTCTACCAGTTAGCCAGCCCAATTCATGCCAACCTGGTTTGCACCAAGAGTACTTTTTTCCTAATTCCCTGTGACTTACTGACTGGCTCTGAAAGTGATTGACCCCTGCTATCTACTGCTGCAATGTAGTTCCTCTTACAGCCTATGGATTTGGTGGTTCTAATGACATAAACATGGTCACAATTTTATAAGCATGCCTTGGTTATGAAAACTTGCTAAAGTAAGTCTCTTTCTACCCTTGCTGTTCTTTTTGGCTCATACTATTCCTCTTTCTTCTGCATTGCCCCCTCCCCCCTACGACAACAACAACAACAACAAAGTTCCTGATTGTAAGCAATGCAGTTTATGAAAAGAGCTAGTATCATTCCTGTTTTATATTGCAAAAAAAATTAACAGGAAATGAGTTTAATTCTCCAGTGACCTAAGATACTGTGTAACTGACAATGTTTAGAATTCTTAATTTTTCTTGTATTTGGTTTAGTATTTATTGAAACAAACAGGGCTAACATAGTAGCTGTGTTGAGATATTTTAAAAGTTGTCACATAGAAGAGGAACTCACTTTGTTCTGCTTGACTCCAGAGGACAGAGCCACAGAAAATGGGGGGAGGTTGTAGAGAGGCTAACTGAGGTGGGACATGAGGAAAGCTGTGCCAGGGAAGACAGGTGAGTGGACTGGCCTCTGGGAGCAGCCATGGTCCTTTTCCTGCCCTGTTTGTGTGTGGTTTTGCTCTTCCCATCACTGGCCAGGGCACTTGTAATTTGTGGGATGGCTTTTGATGAGCTGTGAGACAAACTCCAGCTGCTTTTGTAACCCAGCATCACAACAAACTTACTCTTAGGCCCTATCAGCTCCTGCAGATTCTCCCATCAGTCAAGTTAAACACTGATGCACATCTCACCATCTTAACATTTATCATCTAAATCAGACACGATATCAGGCATTGGACAAATACAGACGATTGAGCGAACTGAGCAGTGGAGCCACCAGTCCTGTACATAAGTAAACCATCCCAGTACACAGGGTAAGAAGGAAGTCCAGAGGATTGGTTGAGAGAGCACTTTAATTTCTGCTCAGATAGGGAAAACTTTGTAGACAATGTGGGCTTTTAGGATTTTGTTGAAGAGTAGGAAGAATATTAGTTTTGAAATGACTGGTGTCTCCATTGAGAACAGAATTTAAAGACAAAAAATTAGAGTGATGTAATAAGGGCTCAGCATTGGGAGGATAAGAAAGTGGAGCTGCAGAGGTACTGGATAGCTAATTTAAGTCACTCTGTTAGTAGAAATTCCTTGTAGGTGAAGAAATTTGGTCTGGGTAAGGAGGTGATTAGAAGCCAGCATAGGGTTCTTGAAGAGGAAAGTTGTGCAATCAACCGGTTCCCCTGTATTGTTAATGAGAATATACATAGCAGCTTGTAGAATTGATGCTAGGTGAATGATTGATGAAGAACAGGTGGCACCATTTCCATTGGGGAAAGGTCAAACCCTTAGCTAGGAATTTACCTAGTCTATGTACCTTTGGCATTAAGGGACTCTCACTTCATGAGAAGGATGCGTGCTGCTTTTGTGCCATGGAGACCTGGGGAATTTTCAGTCCCCCTTTCATAAACATTGGGAATTCCTGAAATGATCAGATCACAGATCCCTTTCAGTATTCATAGACATTACCTATCATCAGCCACTCTGCATCTGAGATGTTTTCATGAATGAAGGCTATAAAGCATTTTGTGTTAATATTAGTGTGTTTTATGGCTTGATTTGATACGTACATGATATGCATTTCTCTCTCTTTTTCTAGGGTGTAGATTCTGGATTTGTTCCCAGCGTTCAGGACTTTGATAAGAAACTGACAGAGGCTGATGCCTATTTGCAAATTTTGATCGATCAACTAAAGGTAGGGCAGATGAGGTTGAGCACTGAGGTGGTTGGTCCACAAGTAAACCAGATATTTGGGGGTGTCCACTTCTCAGTCAGACATTTCTGGCTCTCCTGCTTGTTTCAAAACAACCAAAAAACCCTTCTCTAGCTTCTAGCTTTTCTTGGAAGCTGCTTGTTTCAGAGATTTCTCTCAATGATCTGATTACTTGGATAATAACATATAGATGTTTATGATGGTTATATTTGTGGTTATAGACACATACTCAGTTCTTGAATATATAGACACACACTTATAAGAAAGGTGAGATCTGAAAGAACTTGGCCATTTTTAATTCCTGTGGAAACAGGTGAGTTCCAGAGGAAACTTATTTCGGATCTACATGTGTCTCCCCACTTAGTACCCTTTCCTTGACATTTGCAGGCGAGGAGAATTCACTTAAGGCTTATGCGTATAAGCTACCATTTACAAACTTAGAAAACTATAGGAGACTTTTCCTCCTTGTTTCTCCTATTTCCGTTTCTTTAAAACAAAACACAAGCAGAGGTCTTGGGGGACAGGAGGAAGCAAGTGCTCCCTTGGCAGAATGTGAGGAAAGTGCCTCTCTTGGCTTTTGAGAAGCACCAGTGGCGGCTTAGAGGCTTCAAATGAGCCAAATGTTTTCTTTTGTTCTCACTGGTTAGAAAAGAAGTTATCCTGGTGAGCCTTAGATACTGTAAGGTACTCAAAGATATGTCTGACTTGGAGGCTCACCAGCAGCATTTTGGGGGAAGCCCCTGTTTCACCCAGAATCGCTCTGCATTGCAGCATAACCTTGGCTTTTAGTTTGTCTTTAAAAACAAACGGACAGGGGCAGCTCGGTGGTGCAGTGGATAGAGCACCGGCCCTGGAGTCAGGAGGACCTGAGTTTAAATCCAGCCTCAGACACATAACTCTCACTAGCTGTGTGACTCTGGGCAAGCCACTTAACCCCAACTGCCTCATATAGAAACAGCAACAACAATAAAAACCAGATAGAAAACAATATTACAGTAACCTACCTGGAGCACACATTTTTAAAAACTCGGGTTCTCTTTTGCAAGTTGAATGAATGCTGTTTACATATGAAATTAGTTTCTTAGACTATAACCTCTGACTGATGTGTGTGGTTTTTATTTTGTAGCTCTTTGATAACAAGCTTCAAAACTGCAAAGATGATGAACAGAGAAAGGTAACACTTTTTCCCTTTAATTGTTATTTCTTCTATATTATTTGATTAATTAAAACAGTTGTATTAGGGTCTGCTACTTTGTTTAATTTAGCATCATTAAGTTCACCAAAGAGTTTGTGTGGACCTGTGGTAACTGTGTCTTGGAAGCTCACCAGCAGTGTTCCCTGGGAGGCCCTGGAAGGCTCTTGTCACCCTTGTTTCATCCAGAATAGCTCTGTATAGCAGCGTAGCAAGGCTGCCCTTTGCTCTGGAGTTCAGCCTAAGCCTCACCCAGAATAGAAGAGGGCTATGCCACCATCCTCTAGGTGGACACAGTCTTTGTTCATCTCCTAGATAAGTTCCAAGTGCATTCTTACTTTAGGGGATGATGTCAGGGAAGTGAGAACTTGAAAAATATGAGCCCCAGTACTTTGGGGTTTGATAGCCTTGCTCCTGCTCCTTCCCTGGCTTGGAATTTATAGAGATTTGCAATTTTTCTCTCTCTAGTTTCCTTAGGGCAGTAATTCAGCTTCTGTGCTCTGTTGCTATTTTTGTTTTGAAAAATGGCTTTTTCCTTCAGTTTTTTATAATGTATTATAACCATGACTTCTTATTCTTTACTTTTTTCCACTCTTAGGTTTTATGTTTTGGTTCTGTCCTTTGTGGGGGGCGGGGGTAATGAGCTTAGCAAAATGTTTCATTTTAAAACAAGCCTTTTTGCCTTTTAAAATTTTATATGTATATTATGGAAGAGACATCTTCATCTGAGAGAGCAAGCAAACTCATGCCTGTTGAACCAAATGAGGTGTTTTTGGCCTGTTCATAAATACAACATAAAGTCTGTTCTAAAGGACTTGGGCTCACAAAGTGTGTGTGATCTTTGCCTCCGATTATCTGCAGCTTTTGAGTTTAGGGTCACCCCTGCTACTGGGTTTAATTATTACCTGTAGGTAGAAGCATTGTTGTAACTGACAGGGGCCTAGCCTGAGTGGCCAGAGGCCTCAGGCCTGAGCCTGGCTCGCTGTTTTGGGGTGGGGGGGGTGTCTCTTTGTTCTCTAGGACAAGGGGATCAGCTCAGATGAGCCCATAGAGCCCCATGAATACAGTGCCTAAAATGATGATGTGGTCATTACAGTATGTAGGCATAATTTACTGTAATTAATATTAACAGTAAAAACTTTCCTGTATGCTTCTCATGGTTTATATTTTGGATTTATTTTTCACAGAAAATTGAAACTCTCAAAGAGACAACAAATGTAAGTTTCGTGTTTTGCAAACTTTGCCCATTTGTAGCTGTGATAGTTGAGCACTCATCTTAACTTTCAAAGAGTTGTCTCATTAAGGCTGATTAGAATTTTACCATAGAGTCTAGGGTTGAAAAAATTGCCAAATCGACATTCACTTCAGATAACTTCTTTTCCTGTCTTAGAAGTTTGAGATCCTTGTTTAAAAGTTGGCATTTAAAAAAAAAAAAAGAACATTAAAATTGTGAAAATTTTTCTTTTTTCTGAATTTCCTTATGAATGTTTTAGCCTTCTGTCATTATGTAACAAGCAAGCCATTTTGAATAGCTTGTCTTTTTATAGAAATAGTAAAGAAATACAATGAACAATAAAGCTAAGAGGGAGTGCCACACTTGAGGCTTACCAGTTTTATGAGTGTCCTTTCCACTGCCTGTTTCTGTCTAAATCTTTTGTAGGAATTTCTCTTTAACTGAGCCTGTTTTAGAGAAATAATGCTGATAGAAGTCTAAGAGCTTAAAAAGGAATCCTTCCTCTCCCTTCTGAATAGACAGACACATTCGCTTTTCAGGTGTACATGATTGGTTAAAAACTAGTTGATGTTTTCAGTTCAAAAGAAGCAACTCTCTGGCATTGCAGGCCCAGGTGTTCTTCAATCAGCACAGCTGTTAGTGTTCTGACTCCCTTTGCTTTCATAGGCTCAGTTTGCTGCAGGTGACGTGGGGCCTCCAGACCATATTATTTGTTAGCATTGTATGATCAACTTAAATCTTAGAAAACATTTGCAAAGGTATTATTTGTGTAAAATCCTAAAATCAGTGTTTTGTTTTTATAGAACATGGTAGAATCAATTAAACACTGCATTGTGTTGCTGCAGATTGCTAAAGTAAGTAAACTTTGCTTTTGATTTGCTTAACTTAATGGGGATTTACTATTCAGTATGATGTCAGCTTTTCTTGAGGGGCAGTGACAAGATGGGATCTGCATCCAGCCTAGTAACTTTCTGCAAGGAGCTAATTTGGTGGGCTTCCTTGTGCTGTGCTTGGCTAACCCCTTGCCTGCCTGGGTCTGCTGTGAAGAGGTCACTTTAGGTGGAGGTGGGAGGAGGAGAGAGGGTTTCTCTAGGACTCCCTCTTCCTCTTAGGTTGAACCTTTGACACTTGGTGGAATGAAATAGGTTTCTGGCAGGTCTTTTCTTATTCTCATAGGAATGAAAAAAGGGAATACAGGTAGTTCTTTTTGCTTATTTAAAAAAAAAAAGCAAACCAGAAGATGGGGTAGAAATGAATTAGGGATTCTTTTTGTTTTGTTTTGTTTTTTATTTTTAAAGGTAACTTTACTTCTAGTTCATTTAGTATGGAATTAAATTGAAGAACCAGCTTAGCAGCAGGAAATTAGTTTGCAGCACATTAATTGGCTTTTGTCCAAATTCTTTTTTTTTTATCTGACCCATTTGGACATCACATTAAATAAAATAAACATTCTGAATAATTTCAAATATCTATGATTGGTAAAATCTTTGGAAGTGAAAAAACCCAGCACAGCATTATCAGCCTTTCTTAATATTTTTGGTTTCATTTGGCTTGGGCATTTTTCAGCCATCGGATTTTTGGTTAGCATTTTATCATACAATATTGGTAGAGTTAGTGATTGGTTGTTGCATTTATCATAATATCTGCCTTTGTCTGTCACCCCCTATTTTGGCAAGGTATGAAGGATTTGTTGACTGGCCAATCGAAATAGTATTTTCTGTGCCATTTCAGTTACAAGACTACTTTCATAGTTAAGTGGCATTCAGTCAGTTGCCCATTAACTTTATTATCATTGGCAGAGAAAGAATCAGAGTCAAGCCCTATGCAGTAGCATAGAAGCCTAGAAGTAGCAGGATGATGTCACGTCCTTTGAGGAAATGCTTTTTGAATTCTAGTCTCTGCCACTTTTGTGTAGAGAACAGAGAAGACAGACTTCCTACTCAAGGGGACAGAAGACCCATAGACTGACTTGAGATTCTTGCCACTCTCTCTTAAGATGCCTGTTCTTTTAGTAATTACCTATCATTGGATCTAATTTTTCCCCTGCTTTTCCAAATCAATATTTAATTATAAAGCTTTTCAAAGAAAACCTTTCAGGACTCGGGACTTTTCTTGACTATGAAATTGCACGGCAAATTGTTCTCAGATTGGCCAATGGCCTGTGCATTCAGCTGGTGGCTTCCTCACATACTACCTATTGTCAAAAGTAGCCTATGGGCAGTCGCTGCTTCCATTTTTGTGTATCTTGGAATTGAAGGGAGCAAGAGCATATTATGGTTGAAATGTTCATATGTGTGCAACCCCATCACAAAATTGTTGTGGGATTGGGGCAGTAACCTGGCCCAGAGACACAAAATCAAGGGGTGATTTTAGTTACCATCAGAAACCTTGCATTGCCTCATTGGTTCTGCCTTTGAAGTGGATTTCGATTCAGATGACCTCACCCAGAGCTAGGCTCTCCCATCATTATTAGTCTTCCACTGACACATTATTATCCATAGTGCTAGACCCACATGATAAATCTGCATTTGTGGTCTTCTGGCATAGATAACCTGGAGCCTCCATAAGTGGATCTAGCCATTTATTTTTCAAATAAGTTTTTGCAGAGATAAAACTGTTTGCTATCAGTAAGCGGAACTGTAGAATTACGAGGCTTCATGGTAGAGAGGGCGAGGAGGGAAATCAGAGTTTGGCACTGTTAAGTAGCAGTTTGTTCATTTAGGATGATTGTACTTTTGGAATATAAAGACACTTGAAAAAGGGAACAGAGGTGCAGACCCTGTCACAGAAAAGTCCTGGGTGGTTTTTCACTTAGGGAAGGAGTAATTCACTAAGGGAGCTGCTGACAAGGCTGTGAAGTGTTTTTCTGCAGGAAATGCCAAGCAGCTTTCTTCCATGTTAAGGAAAATTGAGTGAAAAGAAACAGACATGCTTTAAAATTTTTTAACTGAAGAACAAGGCTGACAGGTTGCTAAAACATTCGAATTGGCTCTTTAGAGAGGTTGCATGACTCTAAATACTCGAGAAGCTAGTAGATACAGTCATTCACCTAGCCAGAGAAGATTGGATCCACTGCATTCTCTTGGAGTTTCTCTTCTTACTGCACAGTTATGCAGTTTTAACTCTGACACATGTAAGTAATGGAATAATAATAATAATAATACTAATCCTGGGATTCTCAGCAATCATAGGGACCCTTACAGATTTGTGGGGTTTCCTGGAAGCCTTCATTACCTAGACTTTTTTAGGAGCCAAATGGAACTTCCCAGGTTCGGGGAAGAACTTTGAAGTCCAAGACTCTGGCTGAGGAGTGAAAAACTTAGAAGAGGAGCTACTTGGCCAAGCTGTTGGTGATATTGCCACCATATTGGCTTCGCTTATCATATGCTTCATTATTGATGATGGCTCCCCTTCACTTGATAGTCTTTTCATCTAGGCTTATGTTCAACATCTAGAATCTAAGGGAACACCAACACGACAAGCTTGTGGACTATTTCTGAAGCTTTTTCTGCTATGATCTAGATCTAGTAAAAACAGAAACTGGAGTTTCATGAAATCCCACATCACATAATTGACAGTTTTTGATGTTAATAGCTCTAGTGCTTGAAATAAGCATGCTTCTGTAAGAAGTAGAGCCTGGCTGGGTCACACTCCATGTGATTGGTGCCTATTGATTGAGAAATAGAATTTAAGAATCTTTGACTTATATTTTTTAATTGTTTGGATAATATGGATTTAGAGGCCCTGAGTTTGATGAACATTTGTGTAGTAGTTGACAGTTACTGAGCACTTGCTCTTCAGTGAGGTGCCTTGGCTCTTGGTGTCCCTGTTAGAGAGATGAGAAAGCTGAGGCTCAGTGGTCCTTGTCATTCATGCCTTAACTCAGGTGTCACTTTCTACAAGAGACCTTTCGTGTTTACACTCCCCCTCATCCCCAGCCCGCATTGGAAGAAGGGCTTCTCTCTTCCTCTCCTCACCTCCTGCTCCCCCACCTACTTTATATTTATTTCTCAGTGATTTGGCACATGTCATTTTCCCCTAGAATAATGTCAGCTCCTTGAGAGCAGGGATTGCTTAGTTTTTATTTTTATATCTCCAGTGCATAGCACAGTGCTTGGCACATATGAGGTGCTTGTTGAATAGAGCTGGATCAGATCAGTGCTAGCTGGTGGGTCTTAAGCCTGGTTTTCTGACTGAGTCCTGTCGTCTGCCCCGTTGAAGCTCATCTGTGGAGGCCTGGGTGCTTTTTCAGTCATGACATGGTAGGAGAGTGGAGTTTCCAGATGCTCCGTGCCCACCCCAAAGCACTTTCTTTTTCATGAGCTTCTTGTATAGTTTCCCATTTAACTTAAATGAGAAATTCCCCTCTACCATATTTTGTTAGACTTTTGTGCTTCATTTCATTGAGAAGTACAACATTTTACTCAAGAAAAGCTTTGTTAGAATCTCTTGCCTTATTAGAAGGAATAAAGAACAAATTTCTGCAAAGGAATGAAGCTTCATTTTCAGACAGTTGTACCAAGATTCAAACACTCAGGTCTACAGTCCTGGTCAAAAGTGTGCTAAAATTTGTTGGTGTTTTGGTTTGGCCCAGCTCTTAGATGTCCAAATCTCAGTCATGTTGCTACAATCAAGGAAGGAATGGCCACCTCTGGATTGAGATACCAGGAGGGCTAGTGTTCAGAACTGGGAATGAGAGATCAGATGGCTGAGGGGAGGAGCAGCAGGGTGAGGGAGGGATCGGGAGTACGCTGACTATTGGGTATGAGTCTAGAGGTCTGATGAGGAAGGTGGATGATTAGGTGATCTGCATCAGCACAAGCCTCAACGGTCTGAAATGCCATGTTGCTCTATACTGAGGCAGTCCTGGCTATTGGGTGGCCATCCCTAGCCTTATTCTCTTGTTGGGATGCCTGGCAAGGAGGAGGTAGTTTGTTTCATGTCTGAAACCCCAGGGAGCAGGCCTGACCCTGTGGTGCCCTCTGTCCAGTCATGAAGATAGGAGTTTTGTATTCATCCTCAGCACAGCTCTTCTAAAAATTGAAACTGGTTTCAAATCTGTGTATATGTGTGGCCTGGAGAAGAGAAGCCTGGGAAGGGCACGATGATGATCTTTGTTGATTTGAACAGATGTCACCAGGTGTCCAGAACAGGCATTAGGCCCATTGTCTTTGGTCCCAGTGGACAGAACCAGCAACAGCAATAGGGAGGGGTTGCAGAGAGGCCCTGTTGTGGCTTCAACAGTAATGAGCTTCCCTTCACTGGTGGCCTTTGTGTGAGACCTGTTGGAAGGCATCTTTTGTGGCTTGGAGATGGACTAGTTACCACTGAGTTCCCCTCCAATTCTAAAATTCCATAAAGATGGTTGGAACTTATGGCCCGAGAACACTTAATAATCCCTCGGCAGTCAATCTAGATTTGTGCTTCTCTGCTTTCTCTTCAGATCACATGCAGAGAAAGAATTTAAATCCAGTCCATACTCTTGATTTGAAACTTCTAACTACCATTAGCATTTAACACAAACATCTAAATATCTTTTCAACACTGTCTTTGGTATGTGACCATTGTGGTTTAAGTTCTTAGCAAATTGGCAGTAAAAATGAATATGTGTGGACTTTTGTCACCTGAACCAAAAGTAACCTGTTTTTTTCCTCTACATAGTTTTTCATCTATAGTTATAATTATTATTTTATTCATCCTGCTTATCCCTTCTTGCCTATAGCCTTGTCTTAGTGTCACTAAAAGAAGAAGAAATTCAGATTAATGTTCAAGAGAAATGTATGCTAAATATGAACTAATCTAAACAACTGATTCAAAGTTTACCATGTAGTTGATTGTTTTTATAATTGAATTTTAAACTATCTGATTTAAGGCTAAGTATTATTTTTTTTTTTTTGTGAAATTTAGAGAACCTGTTTTTCCCCATAGCATGATTTAGCTTCATAATTTGGAGGAAATTGACCTGTTCTCCCTGGGAGGTCCGCCGTTAGTGCAGGCTTTCAGAGACTGGGTTGCCCTCATCAGGTTTAGCATAGAAGAGAATCCTTTGTGGATTGGGAGATTGAACCAAATGCACTCTGAGGGTCTTCCCAGCTCTGAGACTACCTAGTCAGTTACTCTACTATTTTTAGATTGTGTTGTGATCCCCATTTCCAGGTCCTTAATTGGTATGGTATTTACATTATTTTGAACTTGAGTGGGGCAAATATCTTAATACTATATAATAGCATGACTAGCACCCAGTCATCCTCTCTTCCATCTACAGTACTCTCTGCTTTCATTTCCACACAGATGGTTCCTAGATTTGTAGAGCCAGACATAGTTACCTCCCTGAACATCAGTCTTGTATTTCCCTGTTCTTGCTAGACAGTTCCTCTTGAATGTTCTCTAGTTAGCTCAAAATCAGTATGTCCCAAATAGAACTCATCCTTTTCCCTAAATATTTCCCTCCTCTACATTTCCCTATGTCTGTTAAGGGAACCACCGACCTCACAGTCCTTTGGGTCCATAATCTCAGTCATCCTGGACTCTTCTCTCCCCCTCGGTCTCCTCCATATTGTTTCTTTCCACATCTTGACATGGACCTCCACGACATTTCTCATATGTGGCTCTTTCTCTCCACTCACATAGCTACCACTCTAATTCACACCTTCGCCTTTTACCTATTGACCTACTAATTAGTTTCCCTGCCAGGAGTCTTCCCTGTCTCCCTAATCCATCTTCTCCACAGCCACCCAGATAATTTTTCAGTGGCACAGATCTGAGTGTCACACTTCTCAAAATTCTTCAAGGGCCCCTTATTGCCTGTAAGATAATACACAGACTCCTTAATGCTTGGCATTTAAGGTTCTCCATAGTCTGTATCCTAGCTATGCATCGCGTCTCCCCTTGCCTAACCCTAAATTCCAGCTGAATTGGCTTGCTCGGTATTCGTGGAATGTAATACTTCATGTCCTACCTCTGTATGTTTGCCTAAGCCATCTCTTATTCTCGGAATGTACTCTGCTGTATCTCTGCATTTGAGAATACTTTGCCTTCCTTCTAACCTCTGTGAGCCTCTCCTGACTGGCACTTCCTGCTATCAGTGTTCTCTTCCCTTCCCATTTTGCTTGTTTGTGTGCAGTTGAAACTTCTTGAGGGTGTAAGGACTTTTTCTTTCATTCTTGTCTTTCTACCCTGGAGTCTAGTACAGTGTTTTGCACAGAACAGACAGTTAACTGATGTTGGTTGAATCAAATTGAATAAAATCACCTATTTAGTGGCATGCAAGTATATATTGCCGTACCCTCCTACCTCTTTCCAACTCATGAAAAACAGTTCGTTGTCCCATAGGATACAGTAAAAGCAAAGTGTCTTCACCCAGGAGAAGAGAGTGGAGGGTGGGAATGGAAAAGGCATCATTGGTCTGGCTGTGTGGGGCCATATTATGAATGTTTAAAACTTTAGACGGACAAATCATGAATAATGAGTGTTTCCTGTACATAATTGGCTTGAGTCTTGGGCATGAATATCACCATGTAGTCCATGGTCTACAGTGTGTATTCTTTGAAAGAATTTTATTTGAAAGGCTCTTGGCCCTTTGAATAAGTGATACTCCTCATGGTGGTTGTTGTGTTCCTGACCAGGGCTGCTTAGGTGGGATTACTCGTCTCCAGTTGGACATTGTGATGGTGGCATCTGCTGCTACCTGAGCCTTAACCAGAGACAAGCTGCTATTCACATGGGGAGATGATGCTTTCTGTGACATGTAAACATTTGTTAACTTATTGAACATTTTTCCTTAAGGACCAAAGTAATGAGGAGAAGCACGCATATGGATTGATAGTAAGTTTAATCTAATCTTTCTAAATTCCCTTTACGTCTGCAGACCATTAAAACCCATCATCCTCCTCCTCGCAGCAGAGACCTGAGTTTCCACTCATTTTACAACTTGTCTTCTCTTTTCAACTTACCCTTCTTGTTCTATTCTGGCAACTTTCCTTGAGCTCCTGACGTTGGCCGTCTTTCACTAATCATTACACGACGAATTGTGGCTGCTTTTTGCTGATTTAGGATTTTAAATGGCAGTCTTATAAATTTGCTTTAAGCTCCTATAGAATCGAACCATCTTCTTGCATGCATCAAGTAATCATGGTGTAGAAATCCAGCTTTTATGGACAGACGTGGGCATGAGGTAGAGGCTGTCTTTACGGAACAGTTCTTGAGGGTTTAAATATCTGTGCTGTAGTTATATCCAATTTGGACTCCCCTTCTTAGAAGCAAGGATGCTAATGATATTGTCATATAGAACTGCTATTGGTATTTTAAATGAGGTCCTTTTTTTCTTTAGAAACTGTAACCAATTCTAGATAGGTTTTTAATATGTTTATAATTTCCCTATATATCTTGGTATTGTGCTTGTGGTATGTGCTGTGATTTTGTTGGAACAAATTGCAACCAACATGCATCCTGTCCTGGGCTCAGCCAGCTTCCATGCTGGCAGCAGGAGGCACTGATGTTGCCAGAGTGGGGGTGTTATGCTTGCCTCCTTAGTTCCATCAGTATCCTGTCCCACAGAACCTCCATTTTGACTTTTCTTTTCCCTTCCTCAACCATCAGCCTTCATCCCTTCTAGACAGAAGGCAGAAAACATTAGTTATTTGTCAGAATCTTAACCTTTTGAAGGCTGGAAGTGAAATTTAAATTTGCTCATTTCATGAATTTAAAATTGCCCAGTAGTTAATTCCAAGCATCTCAAACTCCTTCCACACCATGAGGCCTTCAATAATATTAAAGCTTAATAGAAGAAATGCATTTCTTTTCTGTGAAGGCATACAAATAACAATATATCTGCAATCTGGAAATCCATGAAAATTGCTGATTAAACTTACCAGGATGAATACAGTCTCCTTTTCTTTAGTTTGATTTACACCACACACAGAGATGGCCAGGGAGAGCAGAGGGAGTTAAAGAGGTCACTTACCCACTTTATTGGCATGATAGAATTTTTACTTCCTAATTCCCTGATCCTAATGGCTTATTAGGGACCATTGTGGTGGGACACAAACCTCATTGTTTTCTTTCTAGGTCACCGTTTTAATTTGTAAGCCTATTGGGCAAAGACCATAGCCTGATCTGAAGACAGTCTAGGGAGAAAACCATTTTGAGTAATCATCAGTGTTTTAAAAGATCTGTTACATCCTTGGTGTGGGCACTCACTGACTCGGAGCACTTCCATACCATGGAATAGGAACTTCATGAACTCTTGTGACGCCAAATTGCATCATTTGGTGAATCTCCACCTTGTGAAGGAGTAGGGCACGTACAGTGAAATCACACTGGACTTGGGTGTGCACCCTAGCTCTGCCCGCTTACTCTCTGACCTTGGGCAAGTGATTCAGCTGCTCTGCGGCACTCTTCTTCGTCCTACACATGAAGGGATTAGGCTCAATAAATGACCTTGAAATGCCTCCTTTTGGCTCCGCATAGCCTTCTGATGATGAATTCCTCCGAATGCGGGCAGGTTCAGCCTTCGAGGACAGATTGCAGCTCTGGCCCTGTTTTCACCCAGAGCCTTTTTAGCCTGAAGAGAAAGTGGTAGAGGACAGCTAGCGCTCCAGATGCCTCCGCTCAAGAAGGGGAAGAAACAGTCTGAGAAAGGGGAAGAAACTTGCAGCTGATGTTTGCAGATGAGACAGTAGAAGTTTATAGGACATTTCTAAGATACCTTGATTGTCTCGATGGAGTGGAGGGGAGTGAGAATATTTGTTTTCTGTCTTGTGCTCAAACTCTAATCCATCTTCTGAATAGCTTTTACATTTGGAAATACCAATGGTGGCTGTGAGAGGTGGTGGATAGAGCTCTGACTTTAGAGTCAGGGAGATCTCGGTTCAAGATCTAGTGTTGACACATGGTAGCTGCATAACCATGAACAAGGCACTTAACCTTGTAGTGCCCGGGTGATTCTCTGAGACTGTAGAGTTCCTGATCTGTTTGTGGAAGGTATTTCCACACTGGGAGGTTTTGTATGAAATCACAGGTCAGGACCCACTCACCAGTGTGACCTGTGTTAGCAAAGAGGACCTATGTTAGCAAGATTGGGAAAATTTCTCTTGGGGGGGTTGTTGGGAATGCCAAATACTTGGTTTAAAACTTGAGATCTCTTTGTATTTTAGCCTGAAACAGAACGACAAAAAATAGTTCTGGGGTATTTGATTCCTTTTTTCATTTCATTAAAAAAAAAAAAAAAAAAAACAAAACTGTGATTACTTTATACATGTAGAAATGTCTAATCGTGTTTCTTTTGGAGGCATGTATTCAATCTTGTAGGCAGTCCATCACTGCCTCCTGTCATTGCCCCAAGCCCACCCCGTTTGTCCCATTCCTGTACACAATTATAGTGGGCGTGTCTCTGCCTGGAAGATCAGGTGCCTTTCTGGTTGCTGCAGAAGGTATCGTGGTGGGGGCCTGGGGTGGAGATAGAATGTTTAGAAAACATCCCAGAATAGACAAGGAACTCTGGCTGGCCCTACTAAACTGGAAGGAGGAGGATTTCTCAGTGCCGGAAGGTGAAGGTCAAGAAAAAGTGATTCCCTTAAAATGCCTAAGGGCGCACGTGCATAGGGTGAGCATTGATTTGTTGGCAAAACCCCCAAATCCTTAAACAGAAGATCTTGAAACTGAAAAAAAAAAAAAAAGAAGTAAATTTAGGACAAATAAGATGAAATTAGGCTGTTTCACATATTAGACGTTTAATTTATGAAGCGCCTTAACTCCAAGTTGAAAATACAAACTTTCTCCCAAAAGGTTTAGTGGATGATGAAGGCATCATGTATAAAAAGAGGCCATAGTGGTGGTTGAGTGTGGGGACCAGCAGGCCCCTTCCGTAAACTGTTCCTTGATGCCACTTCTTAGCAGAAGGGATGCTGGGTTGAATGAGCCATCCCCAGGCCTGCCCCAGGAATGCAGGCATGGGGGGTATGCAAACATCTGGAATATGATTTTATTCATCCCTCTGTTGAAGGCATGCATACATAGGAACATCTGGGATTGACAAGCATATGTTCTATTCCTTCCAGTCCGTCTCCCTTTAAAGCAGGGATTTGTAGCCTGGAGTTTATGGATAGATTCCAAGAGGGGATGGATGTGCCGTTGAACTTGGATGGGAAAAAGAATTGCACCTTTATTTCACTATGATGAGTTTCTTCTGTAATACTAGATGTTTTAGGCATTTAAAAACATGATTCTGGGAAAGGGTGTGTAGAGGTCGCAGCGGCTGCCAAAGGGGTCCAGGACCCACAAAAGGCTGCACACTCTTGCTCTGAGAGAAGCACCCACAGATGTCCCTCCCCGTCGCTTCCCCGGTGAGTGTGTGTCTCAGTCTGGCAAAGGAGAGTCAGGGAGCACTTGGCAGCCTGCAGCTTAATTTCCGTTAAAGCTGTGTGCCCAAGCATTTGGCTTCAGTCAAAATAAGAGGGGTGGGTTGGTTTGGTGGACAGAAGCTGTTGGTCTGTGTTTTCCTCACATTCTGTGAATCACTTCCCAGTAAGCTCTACTCCTGCCCCCCCTCCCTCCCCCCCCGTAAAGACCCCCACAAACACAGACAGTGAAGAGCACCTTCGTAGAGGTGGTGCATATGTAACTTGGCGCACTTGTAGCTCCGCATTGCCCAGAAGAGACAGGGAAGTGTGGTTCACCTTCCGTCACTGGGAAGCAGCAACAGGAGTGTCTGCGTTTGCCCCATTTCCCAGCGTCTTCTCCGTGGGCTGCATTGTCCCAGTGCTGTGCCTGTGGATCTACCTCCTAGTTACCTCTTGGTGTCTTCCTCCCCAGGCTTCCCTGAGTCTTCCCTAAGGTGTCACTTGACTTGGTCAGGTGCCATGACTTGTCTGCTCCTTCCCTTGTCACTGGGCACAGAATTGAACAGAACATGTTTAGAGCGTGTTTCTCCTGGACCAGAGCAGCCTCAGATTGATTACGAGCACCATGGAGAGTCCTGGGAAAGCAGCTCCTAGCAGATGCCTGGGAGTCACCTGCTGTGTGTGTGCAGGCCCTGGTGACGGGCCTCCTCTCGGGGACTCAGCACTTACACGTTGTAAACTCACTTTTCCTTGAAATAAGCCAGTGGTGGGAGCATTGTTTTACGGTTTCAAATTAAGCGTGGGACCCTTGGAGGAAAAGATCAGTGTCAAAAATCTCCACTGGATGTCGGCCTGTCCCGGAAATGCATAGCGACACCTGCCACAGTTGATCACAGGAGGGGTGGACAAAGAGAAGACGTTTCTTAACATTTGCCGAGGAATTGAATTCCTGCAGACCAGTAGCCCAGTGCACTGATCCTCTGGGGTGGCTAGGGGGCCCCACAGTGCACTCTGAAAGACAGGAGTTCAGATCTAGCTTCAGAGACTTGCTGACTGGGTGACCCTAGCAAGCCGCTTCACCACTGCCTGCCTCGGTTTCCTCCTCTGTAAAATGAGGATGATCGTTAGGATGAAATGAAAGAACAGATGTAAAGTTTTTATTTGTTCAGCCATCGTAATTGAAGAGAGGCCTCCTGAGTCCCAGGAGCTTGGATGTTGGTGGTGCATTGCAGTGCTTGGTCAGGTATCTCAGAGCAGAATGCTCCAGAAATGCAAGGAGTTGCCCTTACAAGGACTTGGCCATCCATCTTAATTAGCCCCATCGGGGACAAAGAGCCTCCCTAGAAAGTTCTATTTATTTTTTAGGTGCACATTTTAACTTATTATCTGGCATAAAATGCTCATTGTCTTTTCCGAAACCCTTAAGAGGTTTGACAGGAGGGTGTCTGTGCTTTATAAGGCTCTTTTATATCACAGATCACAGGTAAAATCTTTGTTGTTCCCGTTTATCTTAGTATCTTAGAACTTTCTTACTAACTTTTATAAATACCATTTTCTGTAATTACTAACATCACTCTTTGCTGTATCCCCATAGTAATTCCTTCTCCAAACACCTTCAGATGTGTTTTTTAAATTGAGGTTTTCAAGAGGCCTAAGCAAGTTAAGGGATGCTTGGAGTTTTCTTGGTTTTGGTCCATTTTCCCCTTTGCAGATAATAGGTCTCAGCTCTACTGTCTAACCAAGATCTTCCTTTAAATCGTCAGCACCAGGTTTTTTCTCTTTTTTTTGGTCATTAAAAATACTGTTTCTTAGATAGGATGCAGGGACGTTGGGGAAAACTATGATGACGTAAAATACAAAAGATATCAATAAAAAATTTTTAATGAAAAATTGCACCAGTGGAGCCCAAAAGTTCCCAAAGGAAGAGAAAAGCCATTAGGATCCACTTTGGGATGGTGGGCCCATCTGCTTGTTGACATGGCTGATTTCTTAAAATAAAATCTTTGTAATATCATTGGACAGTCGAGCCCTATAGAGTCAGGGAAATATTCTAATATTTTTTCTAAAACTGTAGAGGGCATGTATGTTTATTTCTTCTCCCTCCTGAAACTTGGAAAGATGTATCTTTTTCTTCATTTTGGAAATTCATACCTTCTGTTTTTAGTAAAACTCTGCTGTGTGAAGCTTACATGTGCATCCACAATGATGTTAGGTAGTAATGGGGTGGGACTACATGTGAAGACAGTTGGGGAGCCATCCAGATACACTACTTAGTTATAGGTGTAAAATGTCGGTTAAAGCCAAGAAGGCAAGAGAGGAAGTGTTAGTTCTTGGAAGTGTTGCAGCACAGCGCCGAGAAACATTGTGATGTGTTTAGAAGTGGTATCTCTTTAAATCTCTGCACCCCATTCCAAAACCGCTTTCCATGTAATTTTAATCCTCTCTGTCTGAGGTACGTTGATTTGTGGTTTTCCCACCTTTTACTATGCTTTCCTTAATTATAACAATTGCTTGTGCCTCTGTGGGGGAAGAGGGTTTAATTTCTTCTTTGCTCTCTTGTAAACTTGTATCTGTGTAGCTGACCTTAGGATTTTGCTGTCATAAATGGGGGTATTTCTTACATGGGGAAGGGACAGTATGAGAGAGAATGTTAATTAAAAATGACTGTTTCTTTATCTCAGAGTACCATCAACCCTGTAGATGCAATATATCAGCCTAATCCCTTGGAACCAGTGATCAGCACAATGCCTACCCAGACTGTCTTACCTACAGGTACAGTATTTGGACATATGTTCAAGGGCATTCATTAGAGAACCTAGTTTTATACTTCTATTACATACGAAGCTAGCGCAAGCTCACTCTTCTTGCCTGTTGTTTTATATCAAAATCCTAGGTAGAATGAATGAGGGTGTTGTTTTTGTATTGTTTTGTTTTAATTGCATTTGGTGTTCTACAGTTATAGCTTCTGAAGGAGGCTGGGGTGGCCAGAGAGGAGGGTAGTGGTTGGTTATGTCTGTTTTCAAAGTTTCCTCGATGCAGTCAGAGTTGTTGAGCTAACAGTTAGCTAGTTAACCAGACTTCTGCTACCAGGAATGCTTGTACAAAACAGAAGTAGCACCCTTGTGGAAGAGGAAGAAAGCATCCTTAGTGTCTCCAGAGGTCATTCAGAGAGAGTCATGGCTGCAGGCATTAATTAGCACATGGAATAATTGTTGATACTGAGCAGGAGGGGCAAAACCTCAGACCAAGGGAGGATGAGGAGTCATTAGCAGGCTTTGGTTGGCCTGTGGTTTGTGAATTAGAAGCCCTTTGTGTGTGGCTGCTTGGGGGGTGGGAGGAAAGGGGACAAGGAAGATTTAAACCTTTCCATGGTACAGTTGTCATGTTCTTATAGTTTTGAGATAGTATGTGAAAAATTGTTGAAAATCCAAAAGATGACTCCTTTTTGACATTTACAAAGACTTAAAAGGTTATTCTGTGAATTTTTGGAGATTTTTTTTTTAAAGGAAAGAACAACCAGCATGATGAATCCCATGCCGATAGCTGTATCAGGAGCTGGTCTTTGGAGAAGCTAGCAGTCCTCCTAAAAGAGTGCTTGAATGTTGAACTAAGCCATGTGTGCATGTGCACGCAGAGTTACAGATATCCCCCAGGAAACCCCATAACATTTTCTTATTGTCCTGTTTTTCTCCCTTGTTTCCCTTGTCCAAATCTCTTAGAGTCTGCCCCATTGTGTAAATCAGAGCCACGTCCATCCTCCCTACCTGTCGGACCTGGAGTCACTTCTTTGGGACATCCTCAGACGCCCACACCCAACAGCACAGGTACAGATGGGTTTAACCTGTATCTTTTCATCTCATGCCTTTCTTCAAAATTGTTTCTTTCTCTTTGCCAGGGAAAGAGAAGGGGAAATTTGCTGCTGGGGCTGACCCTCTGAGAGTTTTTCCATTGTGCCAGTTTCACCTGGGATTGTTGAATAGTTGAGATTGATAATTGTACTTGAACCCCAAAGCTTTAAGCAAGTAATTGTAATTTAATTGAAATATTGCAGCCTTTCAGGATGTGACTTAATGTTCTTGTGGCTTATCTTGGGGGATCCTCTAACACGGTGACAGTGTTTTTCTGCATAATAAATCTAGTTGTTTTCAGTTTTTGTTGCTTGAATAAGAATTCAGTTTTTAAATGGCTTTTCTTTTTTAAGGGCTGATGACAATTTGTGGTTATTTTGGCCTTTGAGGCTTAGCCTTGGGCTTTCTCCTTTTTTTTTTTGGTGGACTCATTGTCTTTCCCCTGTGACAGGGTTTTATTCTGTGGAATATCAGGTTGCATTTGGATTTTAAATATGCGTTATCTTGACTTCTCTGGAGCAAACATTGAACTGTTGGGCCACAGCCCTCTGAGGGAAGCCTAAAGCTTTCTCCTTGTTTCATCTCCATGAATCTGTCCTTTGCCGGAGGCTGTGTCGATGACTCTTTTCTCCATAAGCACGGCCTGGATTGCCAACCTTGGGCATCCCTCTGTGTCACAGTGCAGACAGTTGTCCTCTGAATTTCAGAAGGAAAAAAATTGGGGCATGAAAAGCTCCAGAAAATTCTCACAGATAATTAAAAACATGAAGTGTAAATGTTTTGTTGCCTCTTTGTCGTGGATAATATTTATGTGGATTTTTTTACAAGGCTGTTAATGTGATTATGAAGTTGATATCTTTAAGAAACAGTTCCTTTGTTGTGAAAGAGGAACTAGTCAATATATCGGGTGTAAGGGACAAGAAACAAATGGATCCCATTCCTGTTTCTTGATAATGCATTCATTTTGGTGTAAATTATTTCAGTTTATCATATGTGGCTTGGCTTAGTTTTTAAAAGAGGAAAGGACATATTTACAATAGACTAAGTTAAAGAAATACGTTGATATCAGAGAATCGGTGATGCCTTGATCCCAATTTCTAAGGCTTTAATTCAGTAAACATTGATTATTGCGTTCTAGGCCTAAGGTCCCATGCTAGGTACATTCAGAGTTAAGGAGATCCATTCCTTTACATAGACAACTGTGAGAGCTTTTTATCTAACAAGTATTCATTAAATGCATACTATGTGCAAGGCTGAAGAAAGACCTCTCAGTGTGTTGTGTAGGTAGATTCCCAGTGGCAAACTTCTCTGCACAGATAGACAGGCATGGCTGGTTTGCTATCTGCATCATGGCAAGGAGGGACCTTCCAAGCCATTGAGCTCCCAGGTCCATTGGAATTGAGCATGTGCAAGGCACTGGGCATTTAAAACATCAGAGGAATATTATTAGCAAACAAAAGGGAAAATTCGAGTCAATTAATTTGAGACCCATTCAGAGTCATTTGACTTTTTTCAAGTACTTGGGCACTTATTTTTGCCTATAAGAAATAGTTTCATGGTTTTAAGGTTCTCTTTAGGCTCTCCTTTGGAAAGAAAGATTCTTTAGGGTTCTATTTACACCTGTGGTTCACTTTTGAGATGGAATTTCAACTGCTAACCTCTGTTTCATGGGTCTTGTGATTTTAAAGTTTTAAGAATGTCCTCATTAGGGAAGCTAGGTGGCGCAGCGGATAGAGCACTGGGCCTGGAGTCAGGAGGACCTGAGGTCAAATCTGGCCTCAGACCAGACACTTGACACTTATTAGCTGTGTGATCCTGGACAAGTCATTTAACCTCAATTGCCTCATTTAAAAAAAAAAAAAAAAAAAGAATGTCCTCATGACTATGACCCCTAAGAAATGATCTTACTAGAGCTCTGGGTGTTTGGGGAGAGGCATCTTCTATGGTGGAGCCACAACCCTTGGGTTTGAGCAGGGTGTGAAAGGCTCTGATCCCACTCTCGGAGAGCCTTGATGGCAGAGTCCAAACCAGCTTCAGAAATGTATGGATGCTTGGGAGCTGAATGCCTTGCTTCCCTTGTCATGCTGAGAATTCCCTAAGAAAGAAACACACAAAACATTGTTTAGGGAGTGACTGTGGTCTTCACGTCCTCTTAGATAGATGGAGGTTTCATCCTGACCAGTCCCCTTTTTCCTGGTAACTCTGGTTTGGGCATGACCAATCATAGCCTCCATTGTTTCCCTCTTTTTATACCTCATTCCTTCCATAGGTGGGGGCTTCAGATTATGGGTAAAGATGGGCAGGGTTTTATAAAGGGGGTTGCTTTGGTTTGGCATTTGTGCATACCTGTGCTTCCTTGGTGTCGGGGACTATTTATCATCAGTGAGGAACTCTGCCTTGCACATAGTAGGTGCTTGATAAATATTTGTGGACTTCAATTGAAACTTCTTGATGAGTGTGCTGAGAAATCTTTAGTGTAATTAACAAATACGTTATTCTCAACTTAATCCTCAATTTTAACTTGCATAGTGTCACAGAACTCCCATTTTGCATTTCCTTTGGAGTAACTTGGCTCCGTTTTTAATCATTTAAAACTGCATATGAAGTATAAGCTGGAACTCTCTGGTACTCTTAAGACAGTGGATTTCTACCTGCATGCTTGAATTAGAATTGAGTTGAAAGATTTGCTTTCCCATAACTGGAAGAGGAATTAATCTTTGATTTTTTTTGAGTCTTTCCGTGATGTCATTGTGAAGTGTGCTGTGAGCTGCAGAAGGGAGCTGTGGCCTTTTCTTACTCATTTTGTGTGTCCCACATCCATCTCGTTACTGTTTTTTTTGCCCAGTCTCAAGGCAGTTTGGCTTTGTCTGCAGGGCGCACGTCCATCCAACCAACTCAGTCAAATTCTTCTACTCTTTTCATAGCTTAACTTACCAATCTCCCCACCCCCACCCCCAACTTTTTCCTAACTCAGCATTTTTCACTCCCTAGGAAGTGGGCATTCAGCACCTAGTAGCAGTCTGACATCTCCAAGCCATGTCAACTTGTCTCCAAGCACAGTCCCAGAATTTTCTTATTCTAGCAGTGAAGATGAATTCTATGATGCCGATGAATTCCATCAAAGCAGCTCATCCCCAAAGCGCTTCATAGAGTAAGTAGAAGTGGAAAGGAGGAGGTCTTGAAGTGGTTGCCTTACTTTAAATATTTGGGTACTTGAGGGGTTTTTTGGACAGCTGTACAGTTTGTTGGAAAAAGAAGTGAGTGACTTTAGTCTCAGCTGATTTAATCCTATGGCAGTGTCACCTTAGTAACCAAAGTAATCCAAATTATGTAAACAGTGGCACCTTCAGGTGCCATGAAATGTTTGTTCCGGGGGGGGTTTAAAGGAATTAGACCTTGTTATCAAAGCTCCCAGTCACTTGGCTGATGGCACGGATCTCTGACATTGGCACATCCCCTTGGCACGGACCTCCTATGCCCTCTCGCATTTCCTCCTCACAACTGTACAAGGCAAGGAAGGAGTATGTGGGGTCGTATTTTCATTTTGCAGATGTGGAAACTAAGAGTCAGAGAGGTCCAAGAGCTGCCCAAGAAGGTCACAAAGGAAGTCACCATCATGGGTAACAGTCAGATCTAGGTCTTTCTGGCTTCAAGCCCACTTCTGTTTATTGTGTCCCATTACACAATATGAAGAGGAAGTGGATGTCTTTTGCTCGGCCCCAGAGAGCAAAGCTAGATGGAAGAGGGATCGTTAGGAGATGTAGGAAGCAACTTTGCATTTAGAAAAACTTTCTGAACAAGTAAGCGTTGCTCAATGGCTTGGAATACTTTGGTAAGGAAGTAAATTGCCTATTGGGGGAACTTCAAGGGGAGGCTGAGCTGCTGAGTGTTGGTGGTAGGGAGATTTAGGGTTGGTATAGGGTCTGGACTGGATGGCCTCTGGGGGCCCTAAGATTATTTTCACAGCTAGTGGGATTTGAAATACTTCCTCTTTTAAATGACAACTAATAGTCATCCGTCTTTAGAGTTATGTAGAGTCCACTTACAGTACTTGCCAGGTTCTGGAAAACAGGTGAGCAAGGCCCTGTACCTACCCATGGCCCTCATGGTGATATCCATTTCCAGTTCTTTAAAGGCTGTTTGTTGTGTTTCATGCCACACTGCTCTTCAGCAGTATTGATAGAATGTTGGTATTAAAAAGATGGGCCTTTGTTTCCGGGGGAACTTGGGGTCATTGTTACTTCCTTAAAAGTATTCGAATTCCATTCTCTTCCTCTTGTTCACCTCTGGGCCCGACTCATCCATCTGTATTGTTTCTCCTAAGGATATTTGCTAGTAGATAGGCTCTAAAGGTCATCCATCCAGGTAAGTACATGTCGTGATCTGGGAAAAGCACACTGTTCATCCATTTGACCTTTACTGTGTGGATGGTCAGATCATCCCTCAAAAGAGGGGTTACAGATTCCTTCCAGGAGACTCTGCCACGTTCTGGGTGTAGATACACAACCCATACAGTGTTGTCAGCAAAAGTAACACATAGGGCACCACCAGGTCCTCTTCAGCTGCCCTCTGCTCTCGATCTCATGCAGCACAGCCACAGCCTTTGGCAAGCAGACATTTCCCTGTTTTATGTCTTCCAAGGAATCTGGATGGAATAATTATAATGTATGATTGGGAAACCCCTTCTAAAAAGAAAATCTTATTTCTTGCCTTCTCAGTGGTTTAGGGAGGGGTTGGAGGGAGGGAGAAAATGTAGAACTGAAAATTAAAAAATTATGTTTAAAAAAGGAAGAGAGTCTTTTCGGGCATTGTTTTGCTTTACTGAAACAAATACTTCAGGGGAAGTGGGGTAGTGAATGGATACTCGACACAATAGTAGTTTGTATTCTCTCCCCCAGGGCTTCTTCACCTTTTTTGTGGCCTAGATCCCTAGATCCCTTTGACCACAGTCTGCTGAAGCCCTTGGACCCCTTCTTAGATTCCTGCTTTGAAATGCATCAAATAAAATACCTCTGGGACTGCAAAGGAAACCAAGCCTGTTGAAATAGAGTCAAAAAACTATTTAAAAAGTGAGTCTCCAAAGCCCCAGTTAAGAACCTCTGCTCTCCATCTCTGAGTCAGTTGTGAAATGATAGAGATGGAGCCCCTTCCTGCTACGTGTCGAGGTGATTTTAGGTCAGTACTTCATAGTGTGTGCTTGGTCACTTTTACTTTCAGTATTAATAAATTCTGAGGTTTTCTGAACATCTTTGGCATCTTCCTTCTCCTCCATATACTTTGTGTCTTAATCCCAAACTGACTGATTTTCTTTTCTAAATTCTCTTTTATCGGGAAATCAGCAATCCAACAACACTTACAAACACTTCAAGAATGGAGATGAGGACAGTACAAGAAACTCTGAACAGTGGGGTTGGTGTGTTTTGCTTTTTAACTGTACGTACTCTACATAGAATCAGAATTGGAGAGTTAGAAGACACTTGAGAGAACAACCATCCAGTCCGTCCCATCCAAGAATGCAGTGTTCTGATATCCCTGACAGGGGGTCGTCCAGCTTTTTCTTGAGAGCCCACCGCTCCTTTTCAGGGCAGCCCATTCCACTTGGAGGCATTTCTCATTTTGAGATAGTCTAATTTTCCTGATGTCAAGCCTAATTTTGCCTCTTTGCTGCTTCTCACAATTGCTCCTGAGTCTTCTTCATGAGGCCATACAGGACAATCTAATCCCTTTTTCACATGAGGGCCCTTCAGATACATAAAGATAGCTGTCATGTCTCCCCAGTGCCCAGTTCCTTCAACCCATCTTCAAAGGCCCTTCATCATCCACCCGGTTGCTTTGCTCTAATTTGTATCCTAGCTAAGTTTAGTACTGTCCTCCTTAATCTGTTTCCCAAAATTGAACAAAGTATTCTAGATGAGGGTAGAGGACAGTGAGACTGTCCCCTCTTTATTCCTGTGTGGTTCCTGCACTGCATTGCTGACTCATTGAAACCCCCAGATCTATTTTTCACAACATCAATGTCTCCACCATCGTATTTGCATAAAATTAATGGGTTTTTTTGTACCCAAAGGGCCAGACTTTAGATTTGTCCTCGTTGAATTTCATGTTAGACTCAGCCCAAAGCTCTAGCTTGTTAAGACCTTTTGGATTCTGACTCTGCCATCCACTGTGTTGGCTTTCTCTCCCAGCTTGGTGTTGTCTGCAGATGTGATGAGCAGGCCACCAGTACCTTTAATCTAAGTCATTAATAATGTTAAACAGCCCAGGCCCAGATCCATAAGAGTCTTCCAGTGGAGGCGACCTATGCCCTTGATATTGAGACATAAGTCTGCCCGTCCATCCGTTCATCCTCTTAGGGATTCGTCTGATTGTATTATCATGTAATCCAGTTAAATTGGGGGTGAAACAAGGAGATGACCATTATCACTACTGTTATTCAATATTGTACTAGAAATGTTAGCTTTAGCAATAAGAGAAGAAAAAGAAATTTAAGAAACTAGAATAGGCAAAGAAGAAAGAAAGCTATCACTCTTTACAGATGATACGATGGTATATTTAGAGAACCCTAGAGAATCAAGTAAAAAATTACTTGAAATAATAAACAAATTTAGCGAAGTTGCAGGATATAAAATAAACCCACATAAATCATCAGCATTTCTATATATGTTACTAACAAAGGCCAACAGAAAGAGATAGAAAGAGAAATTCCATTTAAAGTTACTATAGACATTATAAAATATTTGGGAGTCTACCTGCCGAAACAAACCCGGGAACTATACAAACACAATTACAAAACACTTTTTACACAAGTAAAGTCAGATTGAAATAATTGGAAAAACATCAGTTGCTCATGGGTAGGCCGAGCTAACATGATAAAAATCACAATTCTACCTAAGCTAATTTACTTATTCAGCACCATACCAATCAAACCACAAAAAAAAATTATTTTATAGAGCTAGGAAAAAAATAACAAAATTCATCTGGAAGAACAAAAGGTCCAGAGTTTCAAGGGAACTAATGAGAAGAAATGCGGGGGAAGGTGGCCTGACTCTACCAGATCCTCAATTGTATTATAATATTATAAAGCAGCAGTTGTCATCCAATCTGTTTCTCTCCCATCATCTTCACAAGAATCTTCATATGAGATACTTTCCCGAAAGCTTTGCTAAAAATCCAGGTAAACTGTATCCCCAGTGTCTCCCTCCCATCTAGGAAGGTGCCGGGGGGTGAGCAGCGTGTTCTCAGTGAAGCCTGGCTGGCTCTTTGGGACCTTGCTGTTCCCCAGGAATTGAAGTACAACTTGCTGCCTTAGCGTTAGCAGCCTCTTTCCCCTTTACTTTTTCAGTATCAGGACATTTGTCCTCCTTCAGTCCAGCGGCCCCTTCCCCTTTGTCCACGGTCTCCGCTATCACAGGCAGTGTCTGCATGAGTCACATCTGCCAGTTCTTTCAGGCCCCGAGGGTGCAGTTATCTGGACTGGGTGACTTGTGTCCACCACAGCTGCTCCTTTGGTCTTGCATTTCCACTCCTATTAGGGGCTCTTGTTCTGGCCTTTCCAGGGTGAATGTCCTTCTCTGACAGAAAAAGAAAAAACAGGCTAACGAGGAAGGAAGCATTCAAACATGGAGGGTCTGTACCTTCTTTGATCTCATTTTTCCCAGTGAACTGTGTCATGTTCTTACTTTCCTCTTCTGTTATTTTGCCTTGAGTCTGTCTTCTTTACGTTCCTCTTAAGAGTTCCTGGTATTGGGGCAGCTAGGTGGCACCGTGAATAGAGCACAAGCCCTGGAGTCAGGAGGACCTGAGTTCAAATGCGGCCTCAGACACTTGACACTTACCAGCTGTGTAACCCTGGGCAAATCAGTTAACCCCATTGCCTAGCCAAAAAAAAAAAAAGTTCCCAGCACATTGATCTCTTCAGACAAATCCTATTTCTCCTCCTGATTGAAGTCACTTCCTAAACTAACCACAATTCCAGAGGACTCTGGATGAAACATGCTGCCTACCTCCAGAGACCACCCATGGGCTCTGACAGCAGACTCAGAAATGGCAAATGCAGTCCTTGATTTTACTTGACCTTATCCATACTTATAACGACTATTGTATGTCTTGCTTTCTCAATGGGTAGGAGAGCTGGCAGGGACGTAATTCAGAACTGAAAATAAAATAAAATTGAATTTTTTTTAAAAAGAGATTTATTTCCCTTTGTACCTTCAGAATCTCATTCTTGGGCCTCTCCCATCCCTCCCTGGCTAACCGTCCCTGAGAATCTGCTTGTCTTGGCTATGAACCCTCTGGGGTCCATGTTGGACTCTTCCCTGCCTTCCATGTCCTTTACTCAGAGGTTCGTGTAAGGCAGGTCAGAGCAGAAAGACAGGACAGAAAGGAGTCCAAGGAAAGCAGTTGGTTACTACCCGCGATGTGGTGACCTCTGCTGGAGCCCTCTCTGCCAGCAGCAGGAGCAGGTGACATCTCTTGACTTGTCTCAGCAAGAACGCCATCCTTTAAGCAAAGGGAAAGTCTGTTCTGGGTCCGGTGTTCACTGATAGTGGCAACGATGAACGAGAACAGTGAGAAGGGACCGACCGCTCCCTCCCGGAGTTTGGGAAAGGGAAGAGAAATATGGGCAGGGGCCGTCTTCTCCTCTGTTGTTCTGATCTTCTCGGGAAGCTTGGCCTTTGGCTCTTCTGAACGAATTTCAGTCTTTTGTCTAGATCTAGAAAATAGAGCCTTGGTCGTTGTGTTAGTGCTGCACAGAATCTGGGAATCGGGTCAGCTCCCATCCTCATCTGGCTCCCCTCTAGGCTCATGTAACAAATTTTTAAAAGTTACGTCGTCACTGATCATCTCGGAGCTTTCCCTGTTTATGCTTTTCCTTGCCCTTCTCAGAGAGCCATCTCTTATAGTAACCTTTTTTAAAAAAGAAAAAGTGAAACTGATGAGACCAATCAGTACTTTTTAAAACCCTGACGTTGTTTGTAATATTCCCCGCCTGTGGCCCCCCTCCCCACGCGTCTCTGTGAAGCAGCGAGGAGAGCGTCATCCCCCATCTTTGTAGGGCTCAGCTTATTGTTGGATCGTGCAGCATTTATTTGTGATTGTGAACCCCTTATACCACACGCCCGGCACATGGTGATGCAGCCTTTGGGGAGACTGACCGATCCACTTAGCTTTGGACATCCTGTGTCTACACACTCCTCCTTCTCTTGCCCCCACCCCTACCCCCTTGGAGGGAGGGGTCATGAGCTCCAAGCCTCTGTGGGATGGGTGAGGGAGCCTGACTTTGGAGCCTCTGCTTCCACCTCGTCCCCTTTGGGTGTCGTCGTCTTCCTCCCTTCGATTGTAAACTCCGTGAAGGCGAGGATTGTTCCCCTACCCCCCATTGTTGTATCCCCAGCACTTAGTTCAGTGCCTGGCACATAGTAGGCACTTCATGTTTACCGACTCACCGCAGCTGTGCTACATGGTGCCATTGCAATCTGTCAGACCCACTGGAGTGTGAAGATTCTTGGACCTGGGACTATGGAGCTTTTTTCCTTGACTTCTGGTCGCCTAAACACAGAGTTGCAGACTCCTCTGAACAAGCTAGCTCATGTCAAAGACCTTCTTCTGGGTCTGTGTCAGCTCTAAAGAAGGGTGCTGGGCTGGGCCCCCTTGGAGTGAAGTTTTTGGTTGTTGTGCCTTTCTTCTGGTGGCTAGGACCCAGGCCTAACCGGGAGAGCGAAACCTTCTGGCTCATCTGGGGAGCGCTTTAAGGTTTACTAAGCAGCAAACGTAGATCATCTCATCTTAATCCTCACAATGGCCTTATGCAGCAAGCGCTCTTGTTATCCTCTTATTTCAGATGAGGCTGAGGCAGGCATAGGTTAAGTGCCTTTCCCATGGTCGTGCAGTGTCTGAGACAAGATTCAGATTCAGGTCTTCCTGACTCCAGGCCCAGTGCCCCTTATAGGAATAGTTTTTTCAAGCAGCTGATATTAAAATAATAACTTCTATATGCAGTATTTAAGAGCCCCAAGTCAGGTAGAAGTTTTCTTGCAACCACTGGTGGTAGATGATTTTTCCCCCCTGTTGTGTAGAGATGTTTACAAATATTGGTCACATGCTTTCACTGCTCATGAGGCATTTGGATAAAGGTGTGGGAGTGGTTGATTGTTATCACCAAAGAAATAATGGGAATTTTAAAAACATTTTTGTATCATAGCCCAAAATAAGGTGAAATCACTAGCAGGCCAGAATTAGACCACAGTCAGTTGCTTTATATGAGAAACGTGATTTGAGATTTGAAAATCCACAAAGAGCTTCATCAACACTGTATAATTGCTGTTTCATTTCATGTGTTTCCCTTAGTCCAGTGGTTTATTATTCTGTGTAAACTGACAGTAGAGCAGCTGATGCCAAATTCTAAAAGGCTTTTTGGCTGTATCTGCCAGCTGTGGGTTCTGTTGGTAGTGCTGGACGCCTACCAAGCCCTTAGGAGCCAGCAAACCTGAGTTTGGCCTTGGCTGGCCACTGGACTGAGCTTAATTTGAGCACTCGATTAGTGCTGCTGAGGCTCTTCCCAAAGGATCTTTGAACATCTCTAAGAGACTGAGCAAAGTTTGCACTGTGAGACGCTGTGCCTGAGGGTGTCCAGCTTTCCAAGCAGGGGTTAGCCCCTTCGGGCCCGAACAGACTTAGGACAAGCCAATGGGTGGCAGAGTTTAGCATTAGGTCTTACCTTGAAGCTTTTTTAGAATGGCTTGTTATCTTTTAGTTCCTCGGGATCGGCCTCCGTCTTGACCCACAGCAGTTCAGGGAACAGTTTAAAACGCCCCGATACCACGGACTCCCTTATTTCCTCCATCTCTAATGGGATGAGTGATGCTGGTAAGTGAACCCTTACTGAGGGACAGCCATTTTGGCTTCACCTGAATGTTGGGCTGTTGGCCCCCAGGATGTGCATGATCTAGTGAGTGGGGTTTGCTTTTCAGACCTGTTTGACTCCCATGACGACCGAGATGACGATGGGGAGGCCAGCTCCGTGGAAGAGCATAAGAGCGTCATTATGCACCTCTTGTCCCAGGTTAGGCTGGGGATGGATCTGACCAAGGTGAGTGACCTGATGCCCTGATTGCTGAGAATCCGATTGTATGTAACATTGACCTGTCTTTGGATCTCTTCTTAGTGGCACCACACGAGTGGACTGTTTTAGAGTTGATTCAATTCAGTAGACATTTATCAGGCACCGACTGCATGCCCTGCATGGGGTGATGGGAGTGGAGGGTGGGGTGGGTGTGGGAACTGTAAGTAGTGTAAGAAAGACTGATTGAGTGACAGAGGAGGGAAAGGATGGGAGAGAAAGGAATCATCAAATCCACATAAAGGTGATGCTGGGCTTGTAAATTTTATTGGCAGAAGAGTACCCGTGTCAGGAATTGGGCCAGGGAAGGGGTAGGAAAGGAAAGAGGAAACAGCTTTGATTTGGTGTGGGATTGAGAGTGAATTGCGTACCATTAGACTGGAGAAAGAAGACTCAACAGGAAATGAGTTGGGCGGGGACGTTGTCTGAGCAGTTTTCCACCAGAGCTCTGAGAGGGAGAAGGAAAGACACTCATGTGCTGTGCCCTGGTTAGGGCTGTCCAGCCCCAGTGGCCATTCCAACTAAGCCTGAGCCCCCATCTCAGATTCACCAAGCATGGTGGCATGGCATAGTCTTTGGTTAACAATAATTTATTAAGTGCTTAGAGAGACAAAGAAAGATGACAGATGTGGCCCTCAAGGAGTTCTAATGGGTGAGTGGATGTACAGACAGCTGTGTATTATAAGATATATGCAGTGTCCATAGAAGGTACTCTTGGAGAGGAAGGCACTTGCAGTGGTTTGTACTGGGAAAAGCCTCTCCTAGAAGGGGTGATTTGATCTGAGTTCTGTGACCAGAAGGTGAGAGAGAGCCTTCCGGGCATGGGGGATGGGAACCCAGGTCCCTCCTGGATAACCTCCTGTCTCCCTCCCCAGACCCAAGAAACCTCCCAGCCATTGGGCTTAATGTAAAAATGCTTCCACTGGGCACCTTAGCAGGTGGGGCTGACCTCCTTTCTGCCTCCCCGCTCTTTAACTTGTTTCCCTGAGCACCAGTCATTCTGGGGGCTATTGTGTGGGCCCTGACCTGGTCAGCAGCTCAGTTTGCTGGCTCATGGCCACCCTCCTCCCTCGGGCCGAACATGCCTGTGGAACATTTTGTTTCTCCTTCTTGACATAAAAGTCCATGTAAAACCTGGCCATTGTGCAGTCTGCTTCATGAGGTATTTTCTGTGTGTGCGAGTGTGTGTGGGACAGGGGGGAGAGAGATTGATTGGTTCTGGAAGTTCACATGTGTGTCGTCTTCAGGTGGTTCTCCCAACATTTATTCTCGAAAGAAGATCACTTTTGGAAATGTATGCTGACTTTTTTGCACATCCAGATTTGTTTGTAAGGTATGTTGCAATGGTTTCTGAAGTTTTCCATGTCTTTTTGGGGAGGGAGGAGAATATGCATTTATTAAATGCCCATTGTATGCCTGGCACTGTGCCAGGTGCTTTTACAAACATTCTCCCATTTGACCCTCACTCCAACCCTGAGAGGTGGGTGCTGTTGTACCAGCCTGCTGGCTCAATGGGTAGAGCCCCAGGCATGGGGGCAGGAGGACTTGAGTTCAAATGCAGCCTCAGACACTCATTAGCTGCATAATCCTCAGCGAGTCACTTCACTCTGTTTGCCTCAGTCTCCTCATCTGTCAAAAGAGCTGGAGAGAGGGGCAGCTAGGTGGTGGAGTAGATAGAGCTCCGGCCTTGGAGTCAGGAGGACCTGAGTTCAAATCTGACCTCAGACACTTGACACTTAACTAGCTGTGTGACCCTGGGCAAGTCACTTAACCCTGATTGCTTAGCGCCCCCCCCCCCCCCCCCCCCAAAAAAAAAACCACACACACAAAAAACCAAACCTGGTAAAGGAAATGGTAAACCACTCCAGCATGTTTGCCAAGAAAACTCCAAGTGGAGTCAGGGAGAGTTGGGCACAACTGAAAAATGACTCAACAGCAATACAGTTGAGAAAACTGAGACAACCAGAAGTTAAGTGACTTGCCCAAGATCACACAGGTCTTAGGTCTTCCTGACTCCAGGCCCATTGCTCTGTGCAGTGCAGCGTCCCCTAGTGGCTTCAGAACAGGCTGTAAAAACGTGTTTGCCTCTCACACTTTTTTGCCTCTTCTCACCTTTCCTGGTTACATTTGGAAAAATGACTTTGGACAGTTGACTTGAATTTAAGGTGGTGACGTTTGCATTAGCTTCATAATTCTCCCTGTGTCTTGAACACTTCGGTGTTTCCAAAGCCCTTTCCTCATCCCAGCCCTGTGACTAATGTAACACAGCTATCGATGACTAATATTTTGTTAAAGTTTAGACAGGGTCTGAGGATCGGAAACTGGAGGCAGCCATGGGCCAGCTGGTTGCACCCTTTTATTTTACACAGGTGGAGAGTGAGGCCTAGGGAAAGTGCAGTGGCTTGCCCAGTGTTCCCTAAGGAGAGAGTGCCAGAGCTGGGGCTCAAATCCAGAGTTTCTAGTTGGAAGCCACCCCTCCCCAAGGTTGCCTCTCATCAGTAACTGGGTCTGTGGCTCCATTGGGACTTCACACGTCCCAGCCCAGCCCTTCTTCTGCCCCTGAACACAAGACCTTCTCATGAATCCCCACTGCATGCTCCCCTGAGCCCCAGTCCATTCTGTCCTCCCCAGATGTCCTGGGGCATCCATTGGAAATGCTCCACCTCAGCTGCTTGGTGGTTATTTGTGTCTCAGCATGCATCTGCTAACCCTCTGTCAGCCTAGGTCCTGCCCTACCTTCTCCATTTCCATCAGCCTCTTCTTCTTCTCCCTCCTCTGGTGTGTCCCATTTTCCAGATCCAGGTCCTGTCAAACAAGGGTTAGGGGTGCTAACAGTGGTGACGACAGACCTCCCAGCTCATGGGATGCTTTTATCCTTGCACCCTTTCTTTCCTGGGCCCCGGTATTTGAGCACGCAGTCAGTTTAATGGCGTGGCCCCCATAATGGTGTCAGGTCCTCTAGCCAGTGATTCCCAGCCCCCAGGCCTCTGACTACTCCAGGTGCGCCAAAGTGCACAGAAGGCTCGGTCTTCACTCGCCTTGGCCCTCAGTGTGGGCTCCTGAGGCCTGTGTGTGGACTGCAGGGTGTCCTCTACGAGCCGTGGAAGCTCCCTTTCACAGAGACCACTGAGAGACAGGGTGGAGAGAGGAAGGAAGTTCTGGAGCCCCAAGCCAGGCTCAGAGATGGGGAGGCAGTTAGTGTGTGGCCTAGGCCACAGTGCTGCCTCTGCTTCCCAGCAGGGCCTTCCCAAGTGGGGGCAGCTCTGCCGGCCTGGGGCGCTGGACACACAGGACTGTTGACGTCTGGTTTTCTCCTTTCAGCATCAGTGATCAGAAGGACCCAAAGGACCGAATGGTGCAGGTCGTAAGATGGTACCTCTCTGCCTTCCATGCAGGAAGGAAAGGGTCTGTGGCTAAAAAGCCTTACAATCCCATTTTGGGCGAGATCTTTCAATGCCACTGGACGCTGCCCTTGGAAAATGAAGAGAATGCGGTGAGTTCCACGGACTCCCAGAGCGGGGGCCTTGCAGAGGCCTGGAGAGCCGGGACCAGAGCCCCAGCTTCTCGGCTTCCTGGCCAGGTCCCCTTCGGTGCTGCTACCATCTTACACCGGCTCACTTGGTATCCACTTCTGCTTTGGCCCCCACAGTAAGGAAGGAAGGGGCAGTGGAACTGTGGTCTTCCTCACCTTCCGGGGCCAGGTTCCCCACCTGCCCCCGGGGCTCTGGCCCTGGCATAGCTGCTGAGCTGGGCCTCGCCAGGGAAGCCAGGGGCACTAGCTTCCTCCTCCCAAAGCATCTGTGAGGTTTAGGATGAGTTCATGGAGGCCCCCAAAGCAGCCCAAACTGGTGTGAAGTGACTGGCTGCTGTGTGTACTGTGTGTACCAGACCGGGGGGACAGGGCAGGGCCCCGCTCAGCTCCTCTCCGGAGGCCGACACGGATGGCGGGGTCAGCAGTGACGTCTCCGCTGTCTCTTGTGCTTTTGTTGGCAGGAGCCGATGTCGGAAGGCCCTGTGCCCTGGGGCTCCAAAAACTGCGTGACGTTTGTGGCAGAGCAGGTCTCCCATCACCCGCCCAGTAAGTGGCAGCTTTCTCTGTGACCTTCTTCACCCCACAGTGCCTGTACCCCCGGGGACAGTGAACCCCAAAATGTTAATGCCCATCACTTCAAACTACCCTCAACTCAGTTGCGCAGACATCAACAGATATTGCACGAGTTGTTGCTGCCTCTCCCTTGTGTTTCCTCATGCCCTGGGGGTCCCTTGAGCTGCACGCTTACCACCGTGATGTGAGGGGAGGGACAGAGAGGGGCAGCATGGACCGTTAAAGGGCGTTCCCTTCTGGCCGCTTCCTCAAGTCTGGCAGGGCCGGTCTTCATTCTCTGCCCCAGTGGTAGCCTGGCTGCCATAAGCAGTGCACGCCGTAGTCTCGTGGGCTCATGCCCATTTCGTTTTCCTTCTGTGTTCTGAGGCTGGCTGCATTCGGGTCAGTGTCTCCTGCAAACTGGATGACCAGCTCTGGCGGGGCCTTGCCTCTTGGCTATAGTAGGCACAGCTGTCTGCTTCTGGCCTCCCACCCTGGGTGGTTCATTAGCAGCCCAGGGTGATTACTCTGGTTGCTTTGACCAAGAATCTTACCTGATCTAAATTGTTTCTGGAAAGGCTCCATTTGGGGGCCGGTTCAGACCCTGGGCTCCCGGAAGCAGAGGAAAGCCATGTCTCCATCCCCACGTCCTTAATAGATCCTGGGTGCCAAGTGAAAGCCCAGTTGTAGCTGGGCATGGCCAGAAGAAGAGACAGCTCTCGGGGCCTGCATCGCAGCCCTGCCTCGGGGACCCGGGGGAGGGGCAGTGCAGAGTCAGTGTGGTCAGTGGACCTGAGGCGATGACTTAATTCTTGGGATTAATTGGCCACCCACCATTTGCCAGCTGCACTCCCACATGCAGCCAGGCAGGCTTGCCCCTCGGCTCATGTGGCAGCCCCCTCTCTGCGTCGGGTTTCTGTGTGGCAGTCGCGGGCAAGTTCTTTGCCCAGCGTGGTGAGGTGGACACCCGAGACTGACTGGGCGCATCCTTGTTCTCAGTTTCAGCTTTTTACGCCGAGTGCTTTAGCAAGCGGATCCAGTTCAATGCACACATATGGACCAAGTCCAAATTCTTGGGGATGTCCATTGGCGTACACAACATAGGACAAGGTGAGGGGCGAGGCCGACTGAGAGCGGGCTGCATGGTGCTGCCCGGCTCTGCCCTGAAGCCGGCGTTCATCTGCATAGGGAGACTGCTTTGAGAACGAAGAACGTTCCTGCCGTGCTGTGCTGTGGTGGTCTTCAAGCTGCTGGTTCCTCGGGGAGGTCTTCCTGACCTCACACCGATGGCCGGCCGGCTGTCTGGGCGCAGGGCCCGGTGCCAGCCTCACTCTGCCTTCTGGTCGTCTCTCTGCAGGTTGTGTCTCTTGTCTCGATTATGACGAGCATTATATTCTCACCTTCCCCAATGGCTATGGAAGGCAAGTGAACCTGTTTCTTTGCTCCCCCCATAGCCTCAGCCTCTTCTCACCCCTCCTGCACACAGCCCCTTCCTAAGCCTTTTTCTGGGTTTCACAGGTCTATCCTCACAGTGCCCTGGGTAGAGCTGGGAGGAGAATGTAGTATTAACTGCTCCAAGACCGGCTACAGCGCCAACATCATCTTCCACACGAAGCCCTTCTATGGGGGCAAGAAGCACCGAATCGCAGCTGAAATTTTGTAGGTATCTCACCTGGTCCTCTGCACCTTGCTCTGTCCCTGTTTCTGCTCTGGGCCATCCCGCCTCCCTTGGGGCCCAAGGATCCCAGGGCTCTGGCTGCAGGCCGTGGGAGGAGGCAGGAGCTGGGAGCGCCGGCCTCATCCTTCCTGCCCCACGCCGGGGCTGATGTCCCAGCATAGCTGACTGGCCCCCTCTGTAGTCATGAGAAGGAATTCCCATTGTGCAGATGAAGAAACTGAGGCTTAGAGACATTCAGTGACCTTTCTCAACTAACTTCAGCAAGGGGGTGTCTAAGCCTTTTAACCTGGGGCTTCAAGCTGATGCTGCTCGCACCCTCACCCCCCAATCTCCCTGCCCATGGGGTATGATTCTTCTTCCGTGCTCCTTCATCTGTGTCTCTTGGCCTGGATAGACTCCTCACTGACCTCTACTGCTTGGCTGACTCCCCCGTTGGCCCTCTGGTGCCTTGGCTTAGCTCACAACCATCTTCACGTCTTCTTTCTTTAGCCCTCCAAATGACAAGAAATCCTTTTGTTCAATCGAAGGGGAGTGGAACGGTGTCATGTATGCGAAATACGCAACAGGGGTAAAGTACTCAGTGGGCTCTCCCCCTTCCCCAGTCATTTTCCACAGAGACAGCTGGGTTCTAGGCTAGCCAGGAGTCCAGGAGCTGGGCCTCGGGCGGCATGTGGGGGCCCGGGTGCCTCTGGCCAGCATTCCTCTTCCCTTTGTGAGACTGAGGGCTGCACTTTTGGGAGGAGGGAGATGGATGTGGGCTGGTGGGAATGGGCCTGGCAGTCTCTCTGTTTTCTAGGAGAATACGGTCTTCATTGATACCAAGAAGGTGCCTATAATCAAGAAGAAAGTGAGGAAGTTGGAAGACCAGGATGAGTATGAGTCACGCTGGTAAGCAAAGGCTGAGGGGGGTTGGGGAACAAGGCACCTTGGGAGGCATCCAGCCTCCCAGATTCTGTGTCCTTCCCATCCGGGGGCTTTGAGCACCACGAGCCCCCATCAAGAGTATTCTTGTATTCCCTCAAATAGGGAAAAGTGTGAGTGACTCTTAGGAGTGGGCAGTGTGGACCTGCCCCAGGAGGGTCTACTTAAAGAATCGGAGTCAGAAAAGGAGGCTCCAAGAAGGGGGTAATGATCTACCACCCTGGGGATCTAAAGAGTCTATTCCAGTGTCTGAGTACATTAGTGCTTGGTAAATGTGGGGAACAGCCTGGAAACGGGGTGTGGTCACTAGGCAGAGAAGGAGACAGCCAGTCACGGGGCAGAACAAGTGGCCCTGTCTCTAAACGCAGCATTCTCCCCACTCACCTACTGTTGCTTCTCATCTCGTGGGGGCAAGGGACGAATGAAGCCACGGCCAGAATGGGGGGATGGTCATTGAAATCTAGTCATAGACCAGGAGACCAGAACCAGACCTGCCTGGGGGAAGGTTGGACAAAGCTGTTAGGGTCACCTCGGCCCAAGGCACCAGATGGGTGGTCCGTTGTCCTGCCAGGTCCGTGTAGCATTAACTTAATGGCAGAATCTCTGCATCCTGGTCCTTGGGCTCCAGATCCATTGTTCTTCCCCTGCCTCTAGGAGGGTTCTGAGGTGGGAAAGGGACTTTTCAGCTGATGCTTCCAGGATCAGGACCTTCCCAGAAGTGCCTTAGGCAGGTGTCTTAATTACTCTCTTTATTCAGCCTCTGGAAGGATGTCACTTACAACTTAAAAATCAGAGACATTGATGCAGCCACAGAAGCAAAGCACAGACTGGAAGAGAGACAGAGAGCCGAGGCTCGAGAAAGGAAGGAGAAAGACATCCAGTGGGAAACGAGGGTGTGTCTGTCCTTCACCTTTTCTTTGGAGAGCAGCGTGGGGCGGGTTCAGATCCTGGAAAACGGCTTCTGGAGGCCTTTCATTTTTCTTGTAGTTATTCCATGAAGATGGAGAGTGTTGGGTCTACGATGAGCCATTACTGAAACGCCTCGGAGCCAGCAAGCATTAACCTTCCCAGGAGTGACAACGGGCATTTGTGCTGCCTGCCTGGCCATCTCCGCATTCTCTCTCGGGGGCTTTGGGGAGAGCCCTCCCTTCTCTTTGCAGTGGTTCCTATCTCAGGGATACTGGACTTACTGATGCAGGTGAACAATTAAAGCAGGACAAGTTTCCTTTACTATCTTGGTGGCAGTCACTAGAGCTTGACTTCAGTTTTAAGAATCCATTCAAGCTTTGAAGATGTTTGTAAACACTGGGCTCAAGCTCTGTGTGTGTGTGTGTGTGTGTGTGTGTGTGTGTGTGTGTGTGACACAGTCACACTCTAGTGCCACTGCCAAGGTACAGAACACGTCACACATACTCTTGGGTTCTATCTCTATATAAATACATATATATATATATATACATATATATATAAATATACATAATGGAAGTCTTCACTCACTATTCTTTACATCTGTAAATAGAGATTCCTTTGGATGGACGGTTTATTAGAAAATTATTTAGCAAACTATAAAATCAAATGTTTTAGCATTTCATTATCTCACTCAAAATGATTTCTGTATTTTTATTTTTAAATTGAACTATTGAATTATAGCTAACCCTTGGCTATACTTTAATTCCACTATGGGCAGCATCTTAAGGCTTCATAAAATAATTTTCCAAACCTTTTTGTGTTTTTATTTTCTTTGAACTCATAACCCTTGGGCTCAGTCCAGGTGGTAGAGTGGGAAAACCACAGGCTGGGAATTCTGCAAATGCTGTGATCTCTACCCGGGCAGCTAAAGCCCAGTAATCAGTCTTTGTCTCCCCGGGGGTCACTCCCAAAGGCCCACAGCAAAGCCATGAGGATTACTTATGTTTTTTAAAAATGGACAACAATTAAAGGGAAAAATACAGAAACACAAAGGGCTGTCTTTATTGAAAATTTTTTTTAAAACGTTGGCCCTAGCGATGAGCTATGTCTGCCTGACCAGAAGCTGGATGGTCTTCATGCTCTCCAGAGAAACCTTCACCAGTGAGCAGGGGTGGGAGGAGATCCCCAATGGGGTCTTTCTCTCATGGGCTTCAGGCTACTACATAGTTTACCATACGTGACCCTTTGGGTCCATTAGTCTCAATTCAAGAGGACAATCAAAGACCACGATGTAGCAAAAATTCTCCTTCGATGGAAGACTTAAGTCAGTAGTAGCGTTATTTCAAAAATACAAATTTCCAATACACACTGCTTCAGGCCAAAGAGACTGCAGTTTATTTGACTATTTTATGGTAGGGGAGAAGTTTCAGAGTTGATGTGAAAGCCCTGATGTCAGTAATGGGGATGGTGGAATCTGCCAGCAGAGGAGAGGCTGGCAAATAGGTCAGCTGAGCCACTTCGTCATAGGAAGAATTGGAAGAGTCACAGGTAGCAGAACCATCATCTTCTGTCTCATATTTCCCATAGCCAACAACCTGAAAGGGAACATACACCAGTGATGAGAGGTGAGCTTGGCCTCCATCACTCCATCCCCTCCCCTAGCTGTCCTCATGTTACATGGTTGCTGCTCAAGCAAGGCTGTAGAAGCAGAAAGGAAAGGCTGGGGTATGAACCCAGGGGCAGAGAGACCAAGGGAAAAAAATCCAAGAATTGATCATAAAAGCGGCGGATCCAGAATCGAGGCATGTAGGGACAGCTTCAAACTGTGGCTGACCAATCCGTACTCACATGCACACTGACTATTTTGCTGCCATTTCCTCTATGAGACTTGAACCAGTTCACCAGGTCTACTTTGGAGAAAGACTTCAGAGCTTGAATCTTCCAGGAGAAAAGGAGAAAAAAACAAAACTTTAAATAAAGGTCCAAAGTACCATTTTCCTGGAAAAATCTGTTCACTAAGATAAACCCGAGGCCATAAAGAATTAGGACCCATTGTATGAATGGGCCTCCTAGCTGGAGGGTGGCGGTCAGACCTGAGCTTTAGACTGTGACACCTTGGGTGGGTCTTGTGGCACAAGGAGCAACCTACTGCAATGGCCCAGGTATGAGGTGACAAGGGCCCATGCTGGAGAGATGCAGAAGTGAAGTCAACAGGCCTTGGCAACAGCTGGGTGGGGGGGGGGGGCCTCTACAGTGATAGGGAAGGTAAGTTCAGTTTGGGATCCAGGACATCCACTCCAGTATGTCCAGCAGGCAATTAGATCAGAGACTGGGGGTCAGGAGAGTTCTTGTTGGATTAATCTGAGACTTGTCTGCATAAAAATGACGGCTGAAGCTGTGGAAGCTGATGAGATCAATGAGCTACAAAGTCTAGAGGGAGAAGAGATGGCCCAGCACCACAGCTTCCTCCACAGCTTTAGCCTTGCTGTCTTCCTCCAATAGAAATGTTTATTTTCCTAAGTTAATTACATAAATGGTCCAAAGAAATTGATCATCAGGGGTGGTTGAGTCCTTGACGAGACACCCGAGAGCTTTCACTAAGGCAGGACTGTACCTGGCTCAACCACATGACCCAAACGCACCTCAGGAGCACCCATTTCCTAGCCAATCATATTGATTCCTCTGAAACTGCCAATGTTTCACCTCCCCTCCCCCACGAATAAGCCTCCAGCCTTGACTCCCCAAGAGCACGGCCTGCCCTCCACACATGTCCTCCTCCTCCTCAACTAAAGCCCAGTTCTTTGACTACCTGTGTGACCCCAGGTAAGGCGCCACTCCTCACTGGGCCTCCAGCTGTTTCTCCATCTGTAAAATACTCCAGAACTATGGACAAAGGCCCTTGACACAGGCTCCCGAGGTCAGTATCAGCTAAAACCAAGTCCAGGCCTTCCTCTCTGACATCTAACCACACCCTTCTTCAACTCCGCTTTTTCCATTCGCTGGAGTCATGTCCCAGCACGGTCAGAATGAGACCCGGAACCTTGGCATTCTCCAATCTTAGCCCCACTACTGCACCTGAACCCTGACCTTTGGACACTCTGCCCCACTGGCTTCAGTTGCCTCCACGGCCAAGGTCATGTTCTATCAACTAGTGAGAATTCCCTGGCCCCTCCCCTGTCTGCTAGGTTCCCCCCCCCCCCCCCCCCCCCCTCGCGCCCCCCCCCCCCCCCCCCCCCGGTCCCCATTGCTCCATTCTTGCTAAGGTATCCTGGGAACAGTAGTCGCAACCAAGCTGCTTGTAGCCTCAGCCTTTTTTAATGCAATACAAAGTCACTGTCCCAAACTTTTTCTGACTCCCCACTAGCCCCTCCATCTTCACTTTCAGCCTCCAACTTCATCCGGAGAAGAAGGAACCACCAGAGAAATTCCCTCCGTAATCTTGTCATAAACACAATCACCTCACACCCCCACATTCTGCCTCTGCCTGCCATCATCCCATCTCAATCATGTTTCTTCAGGGTTTTTCTGTTTCTGATGGTTACCCCAAATTAACTAAGCCTGGACGGTTTGGAACTCTTTGTGCTGACGTCGCCTTCACCTTTCCTCCCAGTTGTCCTGGTTCACGAGGGTCACGTCTAACCAGTTTTCACACACAAGCCGCACCCCCCCGCTAACCCATGGACGCGGGTAGAGCCAGGAGGAGGAACAGCTCTGGCGTCATCTGTCCCCTGCTGTCCACACAGCTCGGGCCGTCACCTCGCACCAGCCTCCTGACTGGGGCTCCTGGTGCTCAGTGCCTTTCCTCTCCTCTTCCACACCTGCTCAAATGCATGGACGTTCGCAGCTTCCCCCACTAAAACCTCTCCTATCCTGTCTTTCCAGTTTTCCACATGCACCCTATGTTGCTGCCTGATGCTCCGTGCACGAACCTGGGCCTGGCACATCCTCCTCCCTCGTTCCATCTGCCTTTTGGACTCTCAGCTCAGGCTGTCCCCTCCAAGGGGCCCTTGTGAATCCTCCCCAGTAAAAGTCCAGTCCAAAGGCCAGCTGCTCCAGGAAGTCACCACTGATCTCCAGCCTTCCCAATGTGCTCGCCATTCAATGCTGAATGGTCTAGCTTACCTCTGTCTCCTTCCCTCTAGGTGCACTTCCATGGTAACAGGGTAACAGGGATCATCTTGTCTAACTTTGGCACTATCCTAGGGCCTCGAACAGTGATAATAAATGTATGTCAACTGACTGACTGAACCTGCCAACTCGAGGTGGAACCCTCTCCATTTTACAGACAAGAAAGCCGAGGCCCAGAAAGGAGACATAGCTTTTCCAAAGTCACCTGGTTTGGGAGTGACAGAGATGGGGCTCAAAACCAGGTCTCCTGCCCCACAGTCCGTGTTTCTTTCTACTCGGTGAAGCTGGCCTGGGTGGAGGAGGAGCCAGGCTGACCCCAGGGAGCTGGGCTGGCTCTTACCTCGTGGGCCAGGCGGTCAAAGAGGTACTGCTGAGTCGCCACCTCGTTCCAATTGCGGTCCACCTCCTCCCCGAGGTGCGTGTCCTCACACTCCTTCAGCTTGATCAGAGCTACGACCTATCACAAGCAGACACACCATCTGAGCCAGGTGCTTGCCAAGCCTCAGCACAGCTCCCTGAGAAGCCCGGAGATAGCTGGGAAATCTCAGGGCCCAGCAGCCAAGCCATGAAGTGAGGTGCCTTCTCCGGGAGCTCCCAAGGCCACGGCAGCCTCCCGACACAGGGCAGGTGGCCTCCCCTCCCCAAGGGGGAGAAGGAGGGGCTAGGAATGGACTAGAATCATGCAAGCAGGACTCACTCGCCCAGAAATGAGCTGCTCCCACCCTGAGTCTGTCCCCCTCAGGCCCAGAGAGGTAAAGGAAACTTGCCCCGGGGCACACAGGTAAAGGGGATGAGAGGTGGAGGCAAGGCCCGGAGCCACAAACTGCCCCAGACCCCAATTACCTGAGTATGAAAAGCATCTTCTGTTAAGTTCTCCATCCTTTCTTCAAAAGAAGAAAGAAACTCCTCTATTTTCTTATCAACAATTTCAGAGCTGAAACAAAATATTTAAAAAATCAAGCCAATCTTAGGATTACAGATGTGGAGCTAGAAGGGGCCTTAGTAGTCCTTAAAGAAGGACTCTAGGGCAGCTAGGTGGCACCATGGATAGAGCACCAGCCCTGGAGTCTGGAGGACCTGAGTTCAAATCTGGCTTCAGACACTTGACACTTACTAGCTGTGTGACCCTAGGCAAGTCACTTAACCCCAACCGCCTCATCAAAAAGCAAAACAAAAAGGACTCGAGTCAGGGTTCAAACACTGTCTATGCTGCTTCCTTTTAATGGGACCTCATTATGGGTTGTTCCCGTGCCTCTCAGTTAGACACCTGTGAAATGAAACCGCTGGATGCAGGGGCCTCGGGGGTCCTCTCCAGCTCTAAACCAATGATTTCGTGATGAAGGCTAAAGCCCCTCATTTTCCCACTTGCCACCTTCCCACCCAAGACCGTGTGTCCCACACGTATCAAGAAATGCCCAAAGCCCAGGGGACAAAAGGAGGCGTTGTCCTGAGGGCCAAGAAAGCCTTGGGAATGGCAGGTCACTGCCTAGCTCATTCAGGGAAGGCTCTGGCCCTCTGGGTCCTCCCGGAGCTCCTGCTGCCTCCCTGGACCTGCCTCCCCTGCCTCCTCTCACTTGATAAGAAAGCCCCGTGGAAGGAAGCAAGGCAGCGAAGAATCATCGCCCCACCTTCGAGGTAAGAAAACGGGCCGAGAGAAGGCGGTGAGACAGGCTCGGCCTGCCGTGT